TGGATAGGAACGAGAGGGCGAGCTCGCGACCTTCCTGTGAGAACTCGTGCACAACGCTGAAATCATCGCCACGTATCGATCGCGCGGGCCGTGGCACGGCGACTACATGATGCTGAAAGATGTGCTATACAGCGCGAGTTGCTTGCACTGCGTCGTTCCGGAAAACGCGCACGACCGCATTCTCGGCTTCGACATCGCTCAAAACTTTGATTTTGGAAACATCAAGGACCCCGGCCGCGACAACCGGACGTTGTTGTGGGACGAGGACATGCGGTACGATGACATGCGGTACGAGGACAGCGATTGCACGGCTCGCGAGATGATGAGGATGGAGAAAGATGCTACCGATCGAGAAAAAATGTCTGCCCGATTTGCCCATAAATTCGGCGTGCGCGACCGTGAGGCTCCCCGAGACGACGAGGTCGACGCCGCGGCCCACGAGGACGTCGAGGAGGATTTTGCAACGTTCATTGGTGTTCGGTCGCATGATAGCTTCCGCACTTGCGGCGCCGGTTTGCATGAAGAGATCCTTGCTGATCTTGAGATGGACTGGAGAGACAGCTGGGCCCGTCCCACGCCTTCGGCACTTGATGTGTTGCAATTGTTGTTTGAGTCCAAGGCATTTGACGATCACAGCATCGTCGACACGTCTCGCTACTTGGGGAATGTCAGGCGCTTCGGGAGCGATTCATTCGACGACATGGACGAGGACGAGGACGAGGACGAGGACTTCGCTCCACCGACAGGTTCTGAAACGAGTGATTCCGATGACGACGAGTTGCCGAGCTGGGGAAGTCGAGGCGGCGCCCGAGGCGACGCGGGACACGACGACGATGCCGACGAAGAGATGAATCTCCCGGACGAGAGCGTGTGCAAACTCCTTGACAACTACGGGACCGCGCTGCGCCGCGCAAACGTTCGCATCCTCGAACTCGAGACGCGAGCGCAGTCGACGGAAGAAAGTAACCTGCGAGACGTCATAGACATGACCGACGAGGACAATCGCGCATCGAATGACGAGCGCGCGCCTACGCTCCGCGACCTTCACGTCGAAGCATTAGTCGACACAGTGAAAGAGGTCAAGAAAGAGAAGATTGATCTGGAGGCTAGGCTCGAGGACGTCGTCGGATGTGTCGTTTGCATCAGCAATCCGCGGTCTATCGCCGTCCTGCCCTGTACGCACGCTTGCCTGTGCGCCGGGTGTGCCGCATCCATCCAAGCCGCGTCCGGCCAATGCCCGATCTGCCGCGCGAACATCACTGGCACGGTTGCCTTCCTCCTCTCCTGACACTGTTGTGTTGCCGTAAGTCTTTCTGTGATAGCCTCGAGCTGCCTGTCCCTCATGCCGCACCTCAAGGTGCTTTGGGTGAAACACAGCGTGACGATCGAACCCAAGCGGGTCCTGACTCCTGAAGATCATGATGATGATTCCCTAGCTTAGATCCCGCTCCCCGACGACGAAGAGCCGCCCGTCGCGCCGCGCCTTGGCGGCGAGCCTGGCGAAGACGTCGGACTTGGCCGCGAGGACGTCGGCGGCGCCGACGAGGACGAGCTTGGCCTTGGCGCGCGAGAGGGCGACGTTGAGGCGCTTCGGGTCGTCGAGGAGGTCGCCGAGGCCCAGGTCCGGGTTCGCCTTGGCGAAGGAGACGACGACGCAGGCCGCGTCCTTGCCCTGGAAGCGGTCGACCGTCGAGAGGCGGTGGGGCTCGAGGGCCGCGCCGCGGCGCCGCAGGGCGTCGCCGATCTCGCGGAGCTGGGCCCGGAAGGGGCTGAGCACGGCGACGTCGCCGCGCGCGCAGCCGCGCGCGAGGAGGTCCGCGACGAGCTCCGCGACGACGCGCGCCTCGGCGACGTTGCGCGCGCCGAGGCGGCCGCCGTCGCCCGTCGCGCGCGCGGCGAGGGCCGGCGGCACGTCGACGAAGGCGCAGGGCTCGTCCGCGGCCGCGAGCCAGGCGGGCCCGCCCGGCGCGCGCGGCGCGAGCGGCAGCGCGCGCGCGGCGACGGCCGCGGACCCGCAGACGAGCGCGTCGGGCCCGCTCCCGGCGAGGGCCGCGTTGCAGAGCTCCATGATGGGCGCGCTCATGCGGTACTGCGTCGCGAGCGTCGCGACGGCCTCCGGGCGCGCGTCCGCGAGCCGCTTGAACAAACTCTCGGCCGCGCCGTCGCGCGCCGCGAGGCGGCTCTGGACGAGGGGCGCGAGCTGGTGGTGGTCGCCGACGAGCACGAAGGTCTTCGCCTTGAGGAGCGGCGCGAGGCAGTAGGGCTGCGCGATCTGGCCCGCCTCGTCGACGACGGCGACGTCGAAGTCCGTCGCCGACGCTAGGACGCCGCCCTTGGCGCAGGCCATGCACGTCGCGCCGACGACGCGCGCGGCCTGGAGCGCGCCGCGGATGTGGGGCACGGAGTCGAAGCCGGGCCGGCCGACGACGTGGCCCCGGAGCCGCGGCGCGACGCGCTCCGCGGCGGACGGCGCCGCGACGCGCGCGACGCAGCGCTCGCTGACGCCGCTGTCCAACAGCTTCTCGAGGAGGTGGTCCACGGCGGCGTGCGAGTAGGACGCGACGAGGACCCGTAGACCCGCGGCGACGAAGCAGCGCACGACGAACTCCACGGTCGACGTCTTGCCCGTCCCCGGCATGCCGAGGACGAGGCCGTAGTCGGTCGCGCCGAGGGCCAGCTCCGCGGCGCGGCGCTGGTCGCCGTTGAGCGCCGCGAACGCCGAACCGAGCGCGGCGGCGGCGCAGCCGTCGCCGCCGCGGCGCGCGCGCACGGGGCCCTCGCCCGCGACGGCCTCGCGGAGCCGCGCGGCGCCGAGCGCCGCGTCGAAGGTCGGCGCCTCGAGGCGCACGACGAGGTCCCGGAGCCGCCGCCGCCGCGGCGCGCCGTCGCCGTCGGGCGCGTCCCGCGGATCCTCGGCGAAGAGCCGCGCGAGCACGCCCCGCGCGGCGGACAGGCTCGAGCCGCTCTCGTCCTTGTCCACGCGGAGCGTAAATGGCGCGTCGCCCCAGTCCGGCAGGGCCAGGGGCCCCCGCGTGCGCAGGCCGACGGCCGCGGCGCCCGCCGCGGCCGCGGCCGCGTCGACGCGCGTCACGTACGCGCGGCCGAGCACCGTCGGCGGCAGGCCCGGCCGCTCCGCGCTCACCAGCACGAAGTCGTGGCGCTCGAGCGAGCTCAGGCGCGCCTCCGCGGTGGCCGC